GGGGGGACTCGGGCACATGAGCGGCGTTCAGGATTAGCACTGGTACCCTACCGCCTTCGGTCAGAAAGACTACGGTCTCGTCTCCGTACCCTATGAGAGGAACGGGGGCCTTGTTGCCTCCGATCCCCTTGACCCAACCACTACACTCGCGGTAGTTCACGAACGCGTTTGCGCATCGGAACATGGAGCACGTGGCTGCTGTATCAGCCACGTACACCATGACATCCTGGCCTAGTTCCGTTACCCCCACTAGACCTAGGTCAACAGCACCACACTCGCCTGGCAGGCTCGGCGCCGCGCAGAAGGCCTGGTTGGCGTCGCTGTCGGCATGGACGATCTGCGCCAGGACGGGCTCCTCCGTCGCGCACTTGTCCTTGCTGTGACCCCATCCTGCGCAGTGTGAGCACTGCGGGAGGTAGTCGCTCTCCTTGGTGGTGCAGTCCTGTTGTGTGTGTCCGAAACGGCCACACATGAAGCACCGGTCCGGGAACTTCTTGTCCCCGGTACCGCCGCCACCTGCCCCACCAGAGCTACTCCCCTTGCTCTCCTCGACGCCGCCACCGCCTTTTCCGCTGCTGTCGCCGCCCCCGCGGCCGCCGCTGCGGCCACCGCCACGACCACGCCAGGACGACCGCCCTCGGCGGCCGCCCCCACGCCACGACGACCGCCCACGGCGGCCGCCTTCATCGGCGAGGTAGGCCTGCTCGGTGCCGCGCGCGTCCTTGCCTTGCCCCGCCTTCACCTTCTCCATGATCGATCGATATTCGATGGTGACCTCCTTCAGGGCGTCACTCCTTGTCAACCTCTCCTTGTGTCTGAGGGCGTGCTTGGTCATAGCGTACTCGTTGGAGAGGGCATCCAAGAAGAGGTGCAAAACGAAGGTTTCGTTAACATCAAGCCCCCGTTTCGAAAGGGACTCTGCGGTGGCGAGCATACTGTTGAGAGCATGTTGCGGATTTTCTGCCATCGGGATCTTCTTGGATGTCAGGGATTTTAACTCATCCGCAGGCTGCATGGACGATTCTAGGTCGTGCAGCCCCTTCAGCCCACCTTCCCAGAATCAAACACACGACGCGCTCTCTCAAACCTCGAATCATCGCTGGAACGTACACATGGAGAGTGGAAGTTTGACTTCTTCACACACGGGTGCGGAAATGACAGACAAACCTTCGAAAACCCATTCCTCCCTTACTACTTCCTGCCGTATCAACCCACCTCCTCCAGTGGTTGATGCAGGATAGGTAGTGCAATGCCTTCTCTTCTGGATACATTTGAACCCTTGCTCCAACACTCCCGGCTGGTTTTTCCAGGCTGTAAGTCTACCCTCCCAGCCAGCAAAGCGGGCCAAGGTGAACGCTGCCGCCGCCTTAGTATCAGCCCTACGGTGTTTTAACGCGGCGATGCCGTCCACGTGGCCATTCCAAGCCTCGGAAATCAAGAGCGCGGTAGGAGCAAGACTTTTGACCTTTTCCCAAAGCAGGCCGAGCCAGCTTTTTCGCCCCTTGAAGAGGTCGTCCCCCCTCTCCCGCACCGTCTTTATGACGTCGTCTGTGTCCCCGCGAAGACCGCTCGCGATTTGGCTCCGAACGTTGACCCTAACATTTTGGACGGAGGGGTNAGTTTGACTTCTTCACACACGGGTGCGGAAATGACACACAAACCCTTCGACATCCTGCCTCATCGTCACAGAGACGGCCGCGGACAAACCCACAATAATGATGCGGGTGAAAAGTTTGTTCCAACTAGGCCCTCAATGCGATGGTGATGATGGGCTCAAGAAAACAACAAATGCTGGTTTGACTATGTGAGTTCACGCCAACTGGAAGCATTGGCTGATACCATGTCTGAAATTGCGAGCAGGCAACGATATGCACAGCCGTTCTCACCGAAATATCACCGAATCCTCTGGCGGCTTCATGCATCTCACGGACTGCATCCTTGTCGCGCTCCGCCTCTTCGTCCGAATCCTCCACGTCGCCGTCATCCTCCTCCTCGTCGGAGTCCTCTCGGCGCCCTTGCACCCAACAGCATTCGAAAGCACAACAAGGAAATGATAAGACTCGGACGCAATCTGTTCCTTTTGGACGGTCTGGAGCGTTCACCTTTCGTCGCGGCAATGACGTCGGAATATGAACAGGGCCACACACCGATCGTTCGTAACGAATGGAGTAACACACAGCAGAACAAACAAGGGATGACACGACTACAAACGTATTCACTGCTGCGACTAATGTGACTCTAACCGCGAGGCTTCAACTTATTCTTGCGCGCTGGATGCAACTCCCCACGTGTTCCTGCATCATCGCTGTCCTCTTTCTCCTCGCCGGTCGCCTGCCCAGTGTGCAAGACATGAGGGCACAAAGCGTTACGAACGGCGCGATGACATGACGACTACTGCTGTCGTGTAGACGAGTCTATACGTCGATGACCACAGTGCAGTGCTGGGTATTGAGATATGGGTAAACGGGGGGAACAAGGCTTACAAGAGAATGAATACGGAGAGCAACAAGCATTCATTGTGTCATGGATAACAACACCACGATTGACACCACCCACACTTTCCGCGATAAATTCTCACCGTAAAATGCCTCGTAATAATCCTGACTGGTGACGAGGTTCTCCTTCGTTGCCCTCGCCGAAAATGACGTTTCGCATCCATTCTATCCCGGCGCACCTCTGGGGGGGGGCAAGGGAAAGAGAGACAAAGAAAAAAAATAAGCCGCTGTTTGATGGAGACGACATGGGTCTGCTGCGCTTCTGCACCTTACGAGAGCCTAAATAACTATTTCCACACTACTCGTGAAGCCGCCGCCAAACCGTAAATAGGAACTGCCGTACCAGGAACAGACAGGGCTGGGCCACCTTACCTTCTTTTTCTTCCGTTGCCTCCCACTCTGAGTGATATGTACCGTATATGACACAAGATAACCCACCCCCTTGACCGATTTTCGAAGCTCGATTTCTCAACTGCAAGAACAGTCACAGCGCCGAAAACGGTGGCGTTGAAACCGTCTCGTTCATAGCTTTTCGAAAGTGTATCATTTCGTTTATGCATCCTCTTCGTCGTGGAGTAATCGAGCTTTGAAAATCCGTCCCGGGGGAGTGTTATCTTGTGTCATATACGGTAGCCTACATATATTTGTTATTTGATTTCTTCGCAGTGTCGAGGGTGCCGTACCTTGTGACCACGAGTCCCCATGGATGTTTTGNACGGTGGCGTTGAAACCGTCTCGTTCATAGCTTTTCGAAAGTGTATCATTTCGTTTATGCATCCTCTTCGTCGTGGAGTAATCGAGCTTCGAAAATCGGTCAAGGGGGTGGGTTATCTTGTGTCATATACGGTAGCCTACATATATTTGTTATTTGATTTCTTCGCAGTGTCGAGGGTGCCGTACCTTGTGACCACGAGTCCCCATGGATGTTTTGGAATAGAGGACTTATGTGAGAAACCACTTCTACAAGAGGGCTGGCAGGTACTATGCTCACCAAGGCACGTGTTGTGAACCAGTCCCAACGATACAAAACACAACAACAGACGCTACTGCTACTACTTGTTGTAGGAGCGGCGGCGAAAGTGGACAGGTCGGTTTTGTGCTAAAAATAGATTAGTCTCAGATACCCATAGCATTAAGATGATCCCGACGGCATGGTGGAAGCCACAAGTTTTTTTTTCGCAACTGACGTGCTCTGGCGTGGCGCGCGTTGGTGGTCGGGGTGTTTGATCCGAGCCTGGGCAGTTTCTAGTTTTCAAAAACCCCTGCTGGTGTAGTCTAACCCTTCCTCGCATGGTGCTCCTACTACGGTGAGATTTTTGGTCCGCATTATTGGCGAGAAGTCTGCGGACACAAGTCCATCTTCCAACGGATTTCTATCCATGAGAGCCTCAGACATGTACCATCGACACACGCGACGGCAGGAAACTCCCCCTCTTCAGCGACACAGTCCCGACTGCGACGTGGAGGGTAGTCGAAATTCGGCTCGGAACCACCCCGGGTTGCTGCCCTCGCGAAATCACGACAAAAAGACTCACCAAGAATGGAACTCGCTCTACCCTGGCACATAACCTCCCTTGTGATGGTGTTGGCGCGCCTGGCGAAGAGGCCAGCTTAACCCTCAGGCGGTGGTCGCGTGGGGGCGTGATGAAAGTGGGTTGCAAAGGGTAGCTAGAAACGCGCACCGGGGAGCCCTGTGCACGTCAGCATACATTGAAACCCACGGGCAGCATCGCTCAGCTCTGCGCTCCTCTCCCATGCTATTATCGCTATGGGGGCTCGTCTGTCAGCATCCATTTTTTTTTATTATAGGTCATAAACCATTGCACACAGGCCCCGTCGAGGGGGCGACGCCGTATACAGCAGGGATACCTTTGGCATCCCTGGAATCCCTTCTACGTACCACACATGTCACCCGGTATTCCGCTCTATCTCTTTCCATGGGAACATCCCGTACCAACCACTTGGCATTGCTACAAGTATATCTATCATTGCGTACGTAATCTCGTCAACCCGTTCGAGGACTCTGCTCGTTGGCAGCAAGCAAAAATCAGTGAACTATTGACTCAGGCATCGGCGTTTCTGTATGTTTCAACCGTTGGCTTGCTGCTAATCCTGCGTCCGACTTGATGCTGGGAGGAAACGCCCATGCATGTGGTCCGTGTCGTAGCGGAAAACAATCTTCAGTGTACCGTCTGCTCACATGCTGTTGTTCTGAAACAATCACACATTACAGGGCATGATCGGCGAACATCACGACCTAGAACCAACTGGAAACCACTCGGGAAGAGAGTGCAGCATCCGCCTCTTCCACCAAGTCAACTGCCATCGTCAATCATGGCGAGCGGCGCGCTGCGCTCAACCTTCCCCTCGCAGAGCCACAAGTGATGCTACCGCTGCCGGCGGTGGTGGCGGTCCTCTTGCCGGAATCAGGATAGTCGAATCCTCCACGATGAGCAGAATGAAATTCAACTGTCGACAGCCGTCTGATAGCGCTGAAGTCGACGATGGGACTGGTGGTACCTCTCGCCGCTCTTCGTCAAGTGCGATTGACAGGCTCGCCGACAGGATGCCGAGCCGGGAGGAGCAAGTGCACGTTGCGGCTAGACAGTCGGATTGTGGTTCTGCTACCACAAGCGACACGATGAATGAATGGCATGGGCAGCACGAATGGCACCGACATGGAGGAAGTTGGCCTTGCGCGTACCCATCCGCTCCACGCTGCGGCAGCGAGAGGTTGCAATGGCGGCGGCGGCGGCGGCGTCAGCAGCAGCAGGAGCAGCAGCAGCAGCAGCAGCAGCAGCAGCAGCGGCCTTCCCCCTGCTTGTCCCTACGAATGCCCCCGCCTCCACCCCGCTCCCACACTAGCACAGACTCGCGACGCAGGTGCGACTGTTGGCCCTGGCGGTTGGACGCGCCGGGCATTTTAGGCGTGCTGTTGACTCCAGCAATCACCGTGCGAGTCACTACACAACGATTGCAAGTCGTGATCAATTCAAAGGTGGAACGAAATTGACGCGGGACAAATTCGGAACAGAGCACATTTTCAGGACAAGGGAGTGCACGTGATTGGCGGGTGATGTGACTCGCTGCTGTTGTTGTGCGGTCATAGCACGTTGCCTAGACCTCGAACACAGCCTGTTTACGGCCTACGCCACTTATTTATCGGGTGAGACTGTTTTGGTGATGTATTAACTTCACGAGAGGTAGACGACCGTCCTTCACACGGACGAAAAAGGGAGTGCTCAAAGAGCGGCTCCCTACAGCAAGGAGGGGCCCGTGGATCATCGCGGTGCCCCCTACCAAACGGTAACCTTACCAGTCTGCGTGACACAAAATCATCCAGCACATGTATCCAACACCAATG